CCCCTTAAGCCCTAAACCTCTAAACCCTAAACCCTTAATTAAACCCTAAACCCCTAAACCCCTAAACCCTAAACCACTAAACCCCTAACCCCTAAACCCCTGAAACCCTAAAACCCTAAAACCCTAAAGAGCCACAAGGTCGGGCTCCCGGCCCCACCATCCCAGCGGCGAAGACCTGCTTGAGGAATGCCCACTCTCTCTGAGGATAGGGTTTAGGGTTTAGGGCTGAGGATGCCTTTGCCCTTACCCTCCAAGGAGGCTTTTGGGCTATTTTGATGCTAAGGGTTGTAGTTAGAACACGAGCTCCTACAAGGGCTTCAGGGGTTTAGGGTTCTCGGATTTGGTTGAATGTTTTTTTCTAGGTTTATAGGGTTTAGGTTAGGGTTTAGGCTTTAGGCTTTAGGCTTTAGGCTTTAGGCTTTAGGCTTTAGGCTTTAGGCTTTAGGCTTTAGGCTTTAGGGTTTAGGATTTAGGGTTTATGGCTCTAGGGTTCTAGCGTTTAGGGTTCTAGGGTTTGGGTTTAGGCGGGAAGGTTAAGGAGTTCAGGGTTTTGGGTTTCGTGGGGATGCCTTGACAACTAGAAGGAGCTCGAAGTCGTATCAGGTTCTTCATGAAGCTTGGGTGATAAGGGCTTAAAAGCATGTTATAGGGGTTTTAGGGCTTTAGGGGTTTAGGGTTTAGCGGTTTTAGGAGTTTTAGGGGTTTTAAGGGTTTCAGGGGTTTAGGGGTTTTAGGTGTTCACGGTTACAACGTTTTGAAGGGCTCTATATCCGAGGCCTTGGCAACTAGAATACGGCTTTGGGATGATTAGGGATGATAAGCTCTCCACTTGTTAAGACCCCTATGCTATGGGATTTAGGGTATCGAGCATCGGGTTTAGGGTTTACGGTCTAGGGACACAGGCTTAACGCACATGGCTCAGGAATGAACGTTTGAGGTTTAGGGCTACGTCGTTATTTATAGGATTGGTAGGATTTATAGGATTTGGTGCCTCCTGCGATCCTTTGGAAGCCCTATCACTCTAAGGACACCTATTCAATACATAAGTTTCAATACATCCATAGCCCTAAACCCAAAACCCAACACCCTAATTCAATCCCTAACCCTTAAAAGCAGCCTTAAACTTATACCCTTTATCAATGCTCCCTACACCTCAAAGCCTAGCCCCGAAACCCTAAAGCCTCAACCCCAAACCGGGCCTTGCTGTTCGAAGCTCCCTCGGCCATGAGCATCCAAGACCTCAGGAAGACCAAGAGAAAAGAGGAAGGACTTAGGGTTTAGGGCTTAGGGGTTTAGGGTTTAGGGCTTAGGGTTTAGGGTTCAGGGGGTTGGGGTCTACACGGTTTAGGGTTTATAGGGCCTACCTGGCCCCCAAAAGCATGTAGAGTAATCTTAGCATCCGTGACGAAAAGTCCCTTCCACCTCCAGATCGATCAAAATCCACATAAATCCCTCTACACACCCTATCAAACCTTCAAATCCCTAGAAACTCTATGCATCCCCCAGAGCCCCTATGATCCCGTACAGGAGCCCCTGAAGCATCGGTTGAAGGAACCTTTTGCCGGGGTTGTCGCTGTCTCTTGTCTGGAATCTGAATATTGAGCGTTGAGTTTCATTGAAAGCTCCAGAATCCAGAAACTTGAACGGGAACACCCGCCTGTTCGGATGGCCAGGCAAGCTGGGATTTGCAGATTTGGTGGTTTATGGTTGGGATTCTGCTTTGATTGTTCTGGTTTAGGGTTTATGGACTCGGGTTTTAATTGCAGTCTACCCACACCCTAAAACCTGAACCCTAGACCCTAAAGCCTGAACCCTAAACCCTGAAACCTATACCGTAAACCCTGAACCCTAAACCCTGAACCCCAAACCCTAAACCCTGAACCCCAAACCCCCAAACCTATACCTATACCGTATCAAGACGCCAGGGGCGTCCCCTGGGCCCTCATCTTAGCTCCGGGCGATGCCTCGGCGGAAGAGTCGCCTCCAGGAACAACTCTGGGCGCTAGGTTTCCGTCTTTTTTCCTCAAGGAAGCCCCAAACCCTAAACCATAAACCCTATAAACCCTAAACCATAAACCTTATAAACCATAAACCCCAAACCCTAAACCCTAAAACCTAAACCATAAACCCTAAACCCTAAACCCTAAACCTCCCTCTCGCCTGCAAAAAAGACTCTAGTCTGTGAAGAACAAGTCTTGGGCTAGAGTTTGGGATGTCGCTTGCCTTTTATCTTCGGGTATTGGAGTTTAGGGTTTAGGGGCTCTAAACCCTAAGCCCTAATTACTAAACCCTCAACCCTAAACCCCGAACCCTAAACCCTAAAGGTTTAGGGTTTCGGGCTTCAGCTCAGGGTTTGGGTTTTTTTGTTTGGTTTAGGCTTTCGGGACTTCGAAGGCGTCGAGATTCGGGGGGGCCTTGGCCGGGCCTTATCGGTTTGGGCCGACCCGGGCTTCTGGGGGTGCGGATCTCGGAATCGCTGCCGGCTTGAGGTTTAGGGTTCAGGGCTTAGGGTCTAGGGTTACGACTTTTGGGGCTTTGGCTGCCTGGGGGTTTTGGGGACGTTAAAGGTCGCGCAGATGTTCATTTTTTGCCTACAGTACTCTCATGGAACTTTTGTAAACAGAACACCTCGAAAGACCCAGGACCCCATGAACCTTGACAAATCCTTATAGAACCTCCAAAGCAAGTAATACGGTTGATGACATAAACCCTGCATTACCTTAAGGACCCTAAACTATGGGAATCATGGGAATTATGGTCTGTTCCTGATGATGGGTAATGCCGGATTTGTACCATCAACCGCAGCACAAACAAAATAGAGTGTCGCAAAGCCGCCTAATTCGGCATCAACGTATTGTTCCCTTGGGTTCCATTTTGTAAATACGCTGTTTCATACCCAACAATTATTAAGGCCCGTATATTGAGTTTTGACGTAACTTTATGTAAAAACTTGTTGACCCCTTGAAAAGCGGCCCTAAAAGGAAACCGCTAATTATTCAAGCCTGTGTATTTCTGCAAGTGTGTTCATGTAGGGGCCTGAATAATGAGAATAGGGTTGTGGGGTAGATTGCACTAGGTAATTATTTGGGCGCCTACATTGATTACCCCTGAACCCTAAACCCGAAGCCCTAACCCTAGACCCAAAGCCCTAAGCCCTAAACCCTGAACCCTTATCCAGGCCCGTATCTTTCTGTAAGTGCGTTAAAGAAGTCAGACGCAAGCCTCGACTGTCTGGCCGCGCCGGCTTCGGTGATGGCACCTTGAGAAAATCGTCCCGATCCATATGCTCAACCCCACAAATCCGAAAACGGGAATAGGGTTTAGGGTTCAGGATTTCGGGGTTTACCCTTGACCCCAAAGCCTACCAAATAGTAGGCTCTGGCCCCTTCCTTAGAGGTAGAACCCTTAAGCCCTAAAACCCTTAAACAACAAACCCTAAACCCCAAACCCTAAACCCGAAACCCTTAAAGTCTGAAAGCGGTAGGTTTCTGGATCCTCAAGTAGGTCTTAGGATTTAGGGTTCAGGATTTTGGGTTTTAGGGTCTAGGACTTATGGGATACGGACAACTTCAAGCTTCAACCCCTGTGTTCACTAGATCCAACCACGAACCCGAAAGCCTCTGCGACTTTAGACCCGAAACCCGTCAACCTCAATCCTCCACTTAGAACCCCAGAGCCCTGTCTTCTCAAGCCGTATAACCCAAAGACTCCAATAGCTCTTAATTACGGGATATACCTTAAAATCATATATACTGGCTCCTACTATAATTGAAGGTATATTCCTTAATTAAGGACTATTGGAGTCTCTTTGTTCGATACGTTTAACCCGAAAGAACCCAAGACCTCCAACGCGACCCACCTCGAACCCCAACGAACCTTACAAAGCCCTGCAATCCCTACATAGGTAGGGTTTAAGGGTTTAGGGTTTAAGGGTTTAGGGTTTAGGGTTTAGTTCTAACAGTGCCCGATCTGCGTGTTACATGGCCGGAGGTCCATCCTGGTAGAAGATCAGCCAGGAGAAGGCAGTGAACGTGCAGCGTGCCCCATGACTGGAATTCGAATCGCAGGCTCCAGTGTCGCACCTTTGCAAAACCGATGTCATGAAGGCTGGAGCCTGGAGCCCGCGTTCAAGATATGTTTCTCGAGCAAGGTTTGCATGGTGTGATACCAGTGCAAGGTCAAGGGTCCTTGCTGCTGGCTCAAGCTGTCATCGAAGACGAGACCGGCAGGCAGCACATATCGCCATTCGGCGGGGGCCACTGTAAAGAAGACAGTGGGCAACGACGTAATCATGCTTTTCGTTACTTCATACTCTCGTCGGCAGACGTCCTCCAGTTTCCGAATCTGAAGCCACCAATAACTTTCAACGCGTCCTGTTGGGATGCAGCTTGTTCTGGAGAGATATGCTTCTGGTGTCGGTCCCCAATATAGTACGGCACCCTTATCAAAAGAATCCTAATAAAGGAATCCTGAATTATAAATACAAGCCGTCTGTCAACTCTTTTAATCCTCAAACCACCGCCTAAAACCCTGAAGCCCTCCAAAACTGAGAAACACCAAAATCCTAGAAACCCTACAAAGCACGAACACGATAGAACTAATCCAGAGCAGCAAGAACTGAAACCCCAAAGTACTACTAAAATAGATCACAGCGCAAGTTAACCCGGAGACTCCAATAGGCCTTAATTAAGGAATATACCTTAAATCATCTTAGTAGGATCCCTAATATGACTTAAGGTATATTCCTCAATTAAGGGCTGTTGGAGTCTCTGGGAACATCAAAATGACCAGGTCGCCTCCAACTCCCCGCGAGCTGGCCGGCGTGGCGCCGGCGGCACCGGTGCTAAGGCGCTAGGCCCTCCAGGGCCGTGGGGCTCAGGCTTTGGCCCTGCAGCCCAAAAACCCCTAAACCCTAAACCCTAAGTGGCCCTAAACCCTAAACCCGAACCCTAAGCCCTAAACCCGAAACCCTAAACCCTAAGCCCGAAGCCCTAGACTCTACACCTTCGCCCTTCACAGCATCTTGCGGAGGATCTTGCGGAGGAGCAGGAGGTCGAGGCAAAGGGTGGCGTGCTGGAACAGGTGGGGGTGCTGGAACAGCACCTCCCCCGGACACTGGTAACATCTCCGTCGGGGGGCCCATTAAGGTCTTCTGAATCAGCCTTCCAGGCCGAAAGATGAGCGTTGTGTGGAACTCACACGTGAGGTAATCGGAGGTCCCGTAATCATAGATTGAGTCCTCTCCACCGAGCTCCCTCTGTATCCGCGTAGAGGTCCAAGCCTGCGCGCGAGCGCATTGCGCCGTCGCGAAGCAGGGTGCGAGTGCGCTCCTGGCCATCGACAGTTGGCCGATTCTGCGCCTCGAAGGCCGGCAGCGGCTGCTGCCCCCCTTTGCCATGAATCACATTGCGGGTCAGCCACGAGGCAGCACTGATCCAGCGGCTGCGTTCATGAGCGTGCCAACAGCCCTCGGATGGGAAGTCTCTCGATTTCTGGAATATTATTTCTGGACGTGTTGAGTGTCGCCTGGGCCAAGCTGGTTGAAGTGATACCCTCCGTATCCTTCTATTCTCCAAGATCGAGACCTCGTACGCATCCTGGAGGAGTCTCTGGACTGCAGGATGTGGTGGTTTAGGGTTTAGGGTTTAGGGGTTTAGGGTTTAGGGTTTAGGGTTCCCGTGCTTCCGTTTGCCCACCGTTGCCGCCTTTGATTAGCTACGCCCACAGGGGCTCAACAAGCGCATAACCGTGTGCAGGGAAGAATCGATCGATTAGGGTTTAGGGTTTAGGGGTTGGGGCTTAGCAGGCTGATGTCAACTCCCCATCCGCCCAAACCGTGCAGAGGGTTTAGGACCTGACGATCGCCCTGGCTCCACTAAAATTCTCCTAACCCAAAGTCGCAAAGACACCCTGATCCCATAAGCCCTGTTGGCCCAGGAAAATGCCGTCTTTACTCATCCCTTGGACGTTGAAGTTTCAGGGCTTAGGGGCTTTAAGGCTTTCGCTGACGGGTTTAGGGCTTTTAGGGTTTGGGGTTAGGGTTTAGTGTTTGGGGCTGAAGATCGGCGTTCAGGCCGGGATGGCCTCCCTACATAGCTGAATCCTTTTTGGATCTGCAAGGAAATAAGATCTGGAGGCAGACCGGCATAGGAAACCTACGTGAAGTATGTATGGTCCATACCGACACTCCCCAAGCAGACACTCAAAATCAACAAAAAGAGGCCCACATGAACGCCTTCACTCCCAATGATGAAGTATGCTTGAACCCTACTGCGCATTCGCTGCGCAAGCGCTTCTGAAGAATTCAATTAAACCCTAAACCCCTAAACCCCTAAACCCTAAGCCCCTAAACCCTAAACATGAATAGACCATGCCTTGGCCCAAACCCTGAAAGCCGAATCCCGAAGCCCCTCAGCCCTTCAAGCCCCAAGCCCCAAAATCCTAAACCCTAAACCCCAAAATCCTAAACCCTAAACCCCCAAACCCCAAGCCCCAAAATCCTGAACCCTAAACCCCAAATCCCAAAGCCCCAAAATCCTAAACCCAAATCCCCAAAAACTCGA